GGCGGGCAGGGTGAGGGAGCCCCGGGGGGCTCTCGTGGCCCGGGCAGATGCTTGCCCTGCTTGCTTCCGTCCCGTTTGCACCCCTGAGTTTTCAAACGGCAGGGGCGAGGGGCGAGATGGTTATCCTTGAGTCTTTCCCCTTATGTCTTAGATGGTTTGTGCCACGGTTAGGAGCGCGCTGGAAAAAGCTGTTGTAAATATGCCGGCAGGATTGGAAATTACTGAAAACAGGAGGGCGCCAGGCACGCCCTTAGCTTGGCAAGGAGGAGCGTGCACCGTCATCGGTAGGAGCTGCGCCGTCTATGTTGACCCATCAGGAAGGGTAACCACTGATTTAAGTAAGATTTGGGAACAAACTCGAGGTTTACGTGAAGTCCAAAAGGATGCCATGTCTGTAGGATTTGAAGAAGTGTGGAAGTGTTTAACCCCTTGGATTCCAGATTGATCTTTGTCAGTTAGCAATGGGATTAGTAATCACACAGAGTCACAGAACAGTCCAACCCCCCTGCTCCTGCAGGGGTGTTGGACTAGATGACCTCTAGGGGTCCCTTCCAACCCAAAACATTCTATGATTCTATGAACAGCAGGGGTTGGAAGGGACCTCGGGAGATCACCCAGTGCCACCCCCCTGCTCAAGCAGGCTCACCCAGAGCAGGTCGCACAGGGCATCGTCCAGGCGGGCTTTGAATATCTCCAGAGAAGGAGACTCCACAGCCCCCCTGGGCAGCCTGTGCCAGGGCTCCCTCACCCTCAAGGTAAAGAAGTTCTTCCTCACGTTCAACTGAAACCTCTTATGCTTCAGTTTGTGCCCATTGCCCCTTGTCCTGTCACCAGGCACCGCTGGGAAGAGTCTGGCTCCGTCCTCGTGCCATCCACCCTTGAGACTATAATAACTGTAGCGCTTTTTTTTTTTTTCCACGTGCGTTTATGTTATTGTTCAATGTGTAGTTGGATTTCGGAAGAAGTGGTGGAAGCCTCAAAAGAAGAATTTGAAATTTCCAAAGAGGGGAATGTTATCCTTGAGTGGGTGAAACTGGGTGACGGGTAATTCCGGCGGGGGGAGATGGCGTCCACCGACTCAAAATTGAGGAACGGAACAAGTAAGCGAGTACTCCCTCCACCCTCCTACGCAAGAGCGGTGAGTTAACCGAATGCCGTAGCTTGAAGAGTGGGAAGAGACCGCCAACCAACGACGGCCAGCGCGCCAAGGCGGCCTAATGAGTACGCGTTAGATAGGTGCGGAAAATGTATTCGCGACGCATAAATAAGGGAGTAAAACGTAAGCGCGGTGCGCTTGGCTTGTGGCGACACCCCGCCTCGCACCCGGCGCCGGGGGAGCAATCTCTCCCCGCTACACCGCTCCGCCTTCGGGAGCTTCATTCCCAGGCAACCGGGCGGCGCTTCC